AAGACACTTTCTTCAGAGGGAAGTATGGAGAGGGGTAATTTTTACAAACTGTTAATGTTGGTGACAAGACATTTATTTACAGAAGACTATTAATGTACTAGGATATTCTCGTCAGACCAAAAGACAAAGACTTTGTAATTTGAAGATTTTGTAATCCAACTACCTGTACATCTTCAGGTGAGGAAAACACAAGGTCCCTATTTGCAAATATCATCCAAACCAGCCATCTTGCAGCTGATTTTGACTACACAGCACAACTGCTTCCTCCACCCAACTGAGCCTAGATTATGAGACGTGGCTAGCTAAAATAATATCAACAGCAGTAAACAATTTTTGTAACTTTAAAGAAAATGGTCAATCAAGTTGTGCCAATAGCAATAGCAACATTTCGTGCTTGTAGTCCAGTTGTCATGGAATTATGATGGAAATACCTGAGAGGTCAGGCTTTAGAATGATACGCCTGATGATGGGATGAATACAAGCACTGTGACTATACGGCGTATTTTGCACGTGCTATGTTAATTCCAAATTTCTGTCTTTAACCACTTTTCAAACCACCACCCCCCTGGCTTATCTGACTTCAATTTGTTTCTTAAAAAACGTGGTTTAAACAGAGAATACAAGAGATCACTAAGGTGCATGGAATGACTAAACAGGAGGCTGCTGTGTTTATGTAGAGTAAAACATCACAAGGATTTGAAAAAAAAACACCCACTAGGTACAAAATACAGTTTGTCAATCTCAGCTTGTTTGTGCCTCTGAACTGCCATTCCAATTTCCTGCAACTATAAGCTGCTCTAACTTTTTACTAACGCATACCTGCATAAGCAGCACGTGTATTTAAATATAAAACATGAGTTTTAAAAACAAAATCTGAGTCTTAATGCTCACTTTCCAAAATTAAAGCTGTATTACAATGAATCTTGAAAAGCATCAAGAAAAACTAAAATGGCACCAACAACGTAAAGGATTTTCTTTTGCAAAGATTTTAACTGTTTGGAAATTGTTTACTCTAAACTGACATTTTATTTAAAAATCCCACTCAGCAATTATGAAAGCAATTTTCTCCCACATTTCATTCCCACTAAAATTCACCATATTTATGTCAAACTCTTCCTAACAATGGCACAGGAACAGCTGCCTTTGTTCTTCTTAAATACTGGGGAAACAGTATCCACAATGGCATTTTATGTACAATATATCACATGCTGGCTTAGTAATGTATAAATCACATCTTCTGCCAAATAAAACATTAAAACAAGATGTAAGGTGTTGGTAAAGAATAAAATTGAACTGAATACCTAAGTAATTTATTTTTAATGAAATGGTTGTGAAACCAATCCAGTTAATTAAAGCGTGCTAGAAATATTTATTTATCAACCTCAGGTCTTGTGAGCCTAGCAAGTTCGTTTCCACAACTCAATACTTGCATCACCATACCAGATGCATCCTTAAAAATAATGGTTTCATTTTGAGTCATACAACCTCAGGCATTCTTTGAGGAGAGGAGACAACAAAAGTGGAACTGCTTCTGGAAAGGTTAACCTGGTCAGGTGCTATTGGGATAAATATCTCTGAAGAAATACACAAGGTTTCTGAAATTTCTTTCTGACTTCTGATTTCCCTTGAAGAAAAAAAAATAAAACAAAACAAGAGGAGAGCCTCTATCTTTGGTTAAAAAAATATTAATTAATTAATTAATTAAATTTTAGTTTAAGGAAGTAAAAGATTAAATGCTTTAAATGTAGTCTTATGATTCATTTAAAGCTTTTAACTTCAAATCATAGAAACAATATTGACTATTTAAAACTACATGATATTTAAGCAAATCTTTGTTTTACAATTAGACTAATGCCTTTTAATTTTAGATACTTACAGGTGAATTCACACTTTGCTCGTTACCTTAGGACATGTAAATGTATGCCAATGATAATAAAGTGTGTATGTTAATATGCAAAATGTCAAGACATGCCATCTGGAGAGCTAATGAACAATCAAGGGATTCCAAATTAAACTACAGAATTTTCCCTTAGAATCTTTAGGACAACACTGTCAAGTTCAATCTATTCACTTAGACTCCAGAATCAATTTTTCAAACTTTATGACAGGTCTAATAGTTTCCACCTGTTTCTCTTGCTTGACTTTTGACTGGCACGTTACCAGCCAGGGTGGAAATGTAGACAAAGACCCCTATTAGGCTCCGGCTGTTTCTCTACTGTGAGGTCACTCAGCCATTAAATTAGTTCCAGCCCACTTTCTCCTTCGATGTCTTAATTTTGGGGGGTATGAAGGTTTGGGGAAGTGAAAAGGAAGAGAGGCAAACATTTGACATTCAGTTTGTGGGAGAGGTATAAGAAAATCTAAAATCACAGAAGTTAAATGCTACATTTATTTGTAATTTACTAACTAAATAATTTACTAAATCAATTCACTACTAATCCCAGGGATTAAGTTCTTGAGGTGTCTGTGTCACATTTTCAGTCATCACAAACTTTGGAAAAAATAAAAGATTCCATCCTGTAGCACTTGCTTATTGCAATATTCGATTACCTATACAAGGTATAATTTACTTTTTTTTCCTGGGAATTACAACTGATCAGTAAGAACTTATTTTTTGTGCAATGAAAGAAACTCTTTTACTTGAGATACACTTTCATTTTGAACTGGCAAGTGAAATATTACATATCCTAAACCTGACATATTACATACCCTAACACATTCATATTGGTTCTTATGGAAGTACATTAAAAACTGACAACAACTTTCTTCAGAAAGAATAAATAAAATATCTAATAGATATTTGCCTCAATTTCTAGTGATTTATGACTTGTTATTATTTGTGAAATCTCAAGGTACTTTGCTGAACTGCAAATCACATGCTGAACATGCAAATCACATCAACATTATTCTTTTATCTATGACAACAGTGTATTTACAATATCCTGAATCATCATATTTAATATTTTGAATTATTAAAACAAAAGACTTTCTACAAGAAACTTAATCACTCAAATTATAATCTTAATAGGACCACCTACCCTGTAAAGGCTGCTTAGAGAAAGAACTAGTTTACATCGTATCTGAAAACCAACTACTGGAGTTGTATCACAACAGGGAAAATCTTGAAGACCCACATCTCCAAGCGCTTCATTACATTTGGACTACTTACATAAGAAATCAACCCGTGAGCTGAACACTCTGCGGGGACATCAGTTTAGAGATAGAAGAGTAAAGGTTCCAGATTCAATGAAAAACCAAGACCACTTCTCTCATCTCCCTTGCCTTCTGGATGATATAAGAGTAAATAAATCGGCCAGACATGATTCTGTTTAGCTTGTGATATCTAAATACATTCACAGACTTCGAATAATATATTTCATCTTACTGGGATATGTAGATACTGTTACTGAGAACTACCACCAAGAACAACTGTCAGAAAGAAAACTATTAACATATTGAATTATCACTTCAGTTTCTTACCAGTAAGTCTGCTTTCAATCCTATGAGTTGAATATGATTTGAATAGAAACGAAGATGTAAATACTACAAATGCTTCAATAATAATAATAAAACACTTATTTTGGGGCTCTATTGAAATAGCATGTCTGTCTACATCCAAAAGCCCTTGTCAAATCAGTTGTAGGACTAGGATGTAGATTTGGAGGAAGGGGTGTGGCAAAACTGGATTGCAACATTTTTTAATGTGTGTGCACATGTATGTATGAACACGCAAAAAATAGTTTGGTTTTAAAGGAATTTGTATTTGATTTGAGCTGTCTCTAAATTACAAAATTTTAGGGCATATTATCATTTGTAAAGTTTATCTATAAACACTATAAATACTTAATTTCAGGTAATTTTTAGTTATCAGAACAGTGTCAACTGTAAAATTACACTGATTTACCGTAATACTGTTCTAATGCATGCTCATTTACAGTTTTTGTGTATGTATATTTTAAAACAAATCACCTTTATTACCTGCGAGAAGGCATATTCTGTAACATATCAGCCTTACAATTTAGGCTCTCTAGCTGAGAAGTAAAGCTATTACTGCTAGTTAACTAATCAGTTACAATAACATTCAAGGCGATTTAACTGATGATGTTGATAAAAAGAAAATCCAGAACAAAATTACTGAGGTTATTTTCAACAGCAAAATTCACCTGCAATTTCTGCAGATAAATTAACACTGATACTCAAAAGTGGCTGTCAAGAAAAGTTAGAGCTGCAGGTAGAAACACACAGAAAAAATCTTTCCTGAAGAGGAACAGCTTCTTAAAGACAGTTTTTTCCATCAGACTATTTCATGTTCTGAAACATAACAGTACATTCTTTGTACATAGACTCCAACCTAAGATTTACTAACTGTGATTTTCATATCACTTAATCCCATTCAAAACTCTAACAAACTACTTTCTCAAAGGTATCTCACAACTCATTCACAAGGGTCATCTATGTGATGATGAAAGAACGTCTAGCACAACCCTAACCAATGTTTAAAAAACACCAAAGAGCACTTTAGTGGAATATTCAGTGAAAGGACATTAAATGGAATGAGAGAAAACAGCAATGTTAAAATTTAGGCCCCAATCTACTTGGTATTACCTTTGTTATGTAACTAGCTCAGAAAATAACTTGTGTTAGAAAACGTATGCAATCTCCTAAATATGAACATTTAATACCTTAAACATTCCTTTTTTTTTTTTTTTTTTTTTTGCAAGATTAACAATTAAAGTCAATCTCCAAGTAAGAAGTTGTCACATTAGGTTTTTGCACCCCTTATATATTGGCATTTATACACGATTAATTAATATTCTGTGAACACAAAGATCTCTCTTTTGTGTCCTATTTCATAGACAATCAGCATTTTTGACTGGGTATCTTGTAGGTGACAAACAAATAAAAGAGAAAAACGTTTCTTTCCAAACACTGTGAACATTTCTATAACTGTGAATTCCTATCAGAAATCTTACTCAAGATGGTTTGGATCACTGTCTTACCCATCCAGAAGATTCATTGTTGTGGTAGTAACTTCAGTAAAGAGAAGAATCTTTCCAAGCTTCTTTGTTTGCAGATTCTGTTGATACATCTCCAGGCTGAAATGTTCTGATGAGAAGTTTCCCATCTCAGTGATGACTGACATCAGAGATGGAGTTGTCTCCATTTTTGATTCACAAGATGAAACAAATTTAAGAGACACTTTGCTGGATTCTATTAATCCTTCAGCATTTACGTTTTCCTCAAGCCATTTCAGGAATGCAAGATGGATTTCCTGTGGACAAGGGAAATAAAGTAAGACATAGAAATACAGACCAACATACAGAAAGATATACAAACATTCTTCTGAGAATATTTACATTCAATAAACCACCTTCTGCTTCAAAATGAGGAAAAATAACTCCATTTCTTTTTTGAAGATTAACTGCTGCTGCTTGTTCTACTCTGGCCTGACCTGACTATTTGGTACGCTCTTCTTAATCTTAAGACCACGCTCCTTTATGGGTTGATTAGGCTGAAACTTGTGGTGGTTCTGCTAGGTACCGAAACATGGAGTGCATATTATGCACTTCTGTTTATGCAGGTTTTTCAACATGCTAAATTTCTCTGCTACAAGCCTCTCAAAGCATCGCTAAGGCTTGATTTGAAGGATAAAGCAGCAGCTAAGAAAAACATTTACTGATTTCTCAGCGGAATCTCCACTAAAAGGGGTACTTTCAGCTAACAGAAGCTTCACAACTATTACCTTACTCCAAAGTGGCTGTTAAAAAAGCTAGCTAAAGCAGAAACATATAACACAAGAAGGCACATAACTAGGAAAACTTTATACCAGTGTACAAAATGGAGTTGTAAGTATGCTCCCTTGTCACAGCCAATGGCACAGCTGGTAGACATTTCTTTGCAAAATATTTTCAGTGTGAAATACATGTATATGATACACAGATATAATTTAATATCTGATATGATACACAGATATAATTTAATAAATTTAAGTTGTATCTAATACAACTAATTTTACATATCTACATGCCAACCCTTTTATTTCCCTCTCCTTTATTTTAGGTTATTTAGAAGTGTGTTTTAATGAATGTGAAACAAAGAGATGAATTACTGTGATTATTACCTGTCTGTTAACTCCCTGAAACAACAGTTAGACATTGATAGAACTAGATTTGGTATGAAATTTTTGCCTTTTCTGTAGAAACTGCAAGTTAACAGCCCACAAACACAGATGCTGGGACTTCTTTTTCCTAAGTATGTAGCTTACATTTTGAAGAGCTCTACTCCTTCTAGAAACAAAGCAGTCTCTATCACACATACATAATTTCTCAAATAAAAAATCAAACTGAATTAGATGGAATCTAAAAAGAAAAAAGAAGAACTAAAAGTAAAAGCTACTGAACCGCTGATTAAGGCTATCAATAATTTACATAGCAGATTTGAACTGAAAGAATATTTTGAGAGCAAATGTATATGAAACACAAGAAGATACTGGAATATATGGACAAATGACTCCTTAAAATATTAAAAGATGAGCACAGCAACCCAAATTGCACCTGAGGGCACAATTCTAAATCTGGCCCTCATAATTACACTCTCATTTTCAGAATAATAGCTATTTTGGAAGATCTATATGAAACCACAAAAAAACGTATAGTCTTTTTATACCAAACGTAATGTATTAGTGATTCTTACCCTCAAATTTTCTAAGAAAACATTTGTCCTTTAAATAAAAAACTTCTCATAGATGCACAGTTTCTACCCAAGTATGTGCCACTCCTTCCTGTTACTGCAGGATCTGGGAACCTCAGTTCTGAGGGTTTCCTATACTAGTCTAAAGACTAGCTCTCTTGCCCTTGAACATGATGTCCCTGAGCTCCAGTCCAACTCTTTCAAACCCACAAACTGCAATTAAGAGCAATCTTCCTATAAATAGTTATCTATCCAAGGAATTACTCCAATTTTCCAAATCCCATTGTTGTATCTTAAAAAGCAATGAGAAAAGTGGACCTGTTTCTAACACCTTTCTATGGATTTTCCATACTCGGAAACTACACTTTCTCAAGTTTCACATGGACACTGCTTCTTGTGTGACATTCTTTGTATGCTGAATGTCAGCAGACTTACTGGTTTGCAGCCCTATAATATGACATTTACCCTCTGTAGCATATTCTTTCAAGTGATTTTTCCCCCATAGTTTTTTAGTCATACGACATACTGAGCATAACACGAAGAAAGGAACGTTCTTTTTCCAAACACAATCAAGCACTAGCTTCTAGGACAAGCCAATCTAAGAATGACTCAATAGGCAAATTTTAGTTACAGATAAACTACTTTTCATTTCTGCATTTTGTAAAGCTCCATTTAAACTCTTTGCATTTAACTTGTTGCCTAAAATATGCTTTAAATATTTTCTTCCATTTTTTTGCGTCATACGTGATGATGTGGCATTAAAGGTTTTATGAGCACTTCTTTGAATTAATCTGCATGAACCACTTGTATCTTCACTCCGTGTAATATCATAGCCTCAACAGACTGCTACTAAATTCTTTACACACTATCCTTCTTGTTTTACACACACAGTAACTTATTAGCTGTAACTGATATTTAGAAAAATTATAGCTTTAGTTCTTGTAAGGGAGTATATCAAAACTGTGCTTAAGCAGAAAGTGTGTTTTCCTGTTGCTTTCTAAACACAGAATTTCATTTAGCATGATTGTCTGAACATGCAATTCCTAGACACAAAACCGTAATTTTAACTCCCATAAGGATGGATTTACAGACTTACTGAAACAGGCATTAAGTTAAAAAGTAAAGATGCTTAAAGTACTCTTACATTTAAGCAAAGAATGAAAGTGCTTGTTACTATACATCAGAAAGTCCTGCGTACTTTTGCCACAGGATACTTTCCGAAAAGACTGAAATAACTTAGATTTATGTGTAATGTCACATTACTACAGATATGCCACACAATTCCTAACATTTATCCTGTTGAGTGTATTCTTTCATGCAATTTTTCCCCAAAGATATTTAGTTTACATAATTTCATTTTCTTGTTTCTAATGCATATTGAACTATTTAAGATTTGTTATATTTGTATAATTATGAAGCTATTTTTTTTGCGTAATGTATACATACTTTTTAAGCTGATCAAAAATATAAACACAAATACTAGATAATCAAAAACAGCATTTGATTTTTAGAAATTTCTATAAGAAAAAAAAGTTTTCATTTTTAGCAAATTCTCAAGTCGTGTCCAAATACACACGAGGAAAGTTAATTTTTACTTCAGAAACTCAAAGTTACAGAAACACAGATGCTGAACCAATGTTTTATTGTCCTCACTATTATAATGGCACAAAGAGAAGAACATTGTCGTGTAATGAAATAAATATATACAACAGTCAGGGCTAACCTTTGCCTCAACTCCATTGGAAAAGAATATAATCACGTCAGAAACAGAACTGTGCAATTTGTTGCTAAGCTCAGGATGCAGCTTTGAATTCAAAACGGGGAACCTAACACCATTTACTGGCTGTAGGCAGAAAGCAAACCTATCCCCAGCTGCGTGCACCGTTCTGCAGCAACCTCTGGTGGCCATTTAAAAGTAAAGTGTTGGTTCCAAGAACTGCCTGGCCTTACATACCTCTGGGACCAGATCAGGTGTGTCAAAAGGGAAAGGAACACCCAAAATCCTGGCTGCTGCTTACCCTGGCCTGTAGCTCATTATCAAAATCCTAAAACATGCAGGTACAAACTTTAAATGAGTATGCAAGCAAAAGAGCTGTAGCTGTCACAGATTCAGGCACCCACAACCCTGTCTGCAGCTACTTACACATATAATCATGCTGGAGTCGATACTACGCATATGATCCGTAATATACTTCATAAGTATAGTAACTATATGTTTTAGGGTGGCCTAAATATATCTAAAATTGTTATTCATCATTACTGCATCATTTTTGGCAGGGAGAATGCAAGTCACGACAAATTAATTGCCTATGTATGAAACCATTCTCTTCTCAAATCAATTTGATACATACATTCTCCAAACAAAAGATACTGCCACCTCCTTTCTTAAAGGAACAATGAAATTTGACATTTTGGCCGAGTGACTAGATGGCAAGAGACTAAATCAGCTTTTCACGGTTAAAATAGTCAACTAGAAATTTATCATCTAGAACAGGAAAGATTTCTAGTCATAGCAAAAGCACAATGGATTTTCAATACATTTTAAAAAGCAACTATAAAAAGCAGAAAAGCACTGTACCAACAGGAACAAGCCACCACTTCTCACTAAGAAATTCTCCCCACATGCTCCGAAGTGCAATCTGAATTCCACAGGGCAGGAGCATGGAAAGAAGCAGCATCTCATGGTGGTGACAGCCTCACTCATCTGGTACTGAGAGGCAAACATATGAAAAAGCAGAGTTTTGATTGTTGGACTCAAAGTGTCACTAACTGGGAAGTTGTTCTGAAGCAGGTAGTGAAATACAGTAGATGTCAATTCACAAAATCCATAGAAACGAGGAGTTCAGCTACTGCACACTATGTACCCTCAGCTCCTCCACCGATCAGCACAAAAGTTTATTAGGGTCACTGTATCAAGGGTTGGAGGGCTGATGCTGTAAATTGTTGAACTAAAGTTTAAATGGTAATTGCGGTGTAAAGAAGGAAGAGTAAAAGCTGTATTTTGTTAATGATTTAACATCTGCTTTCTATGATTTTAAGAGTTTGGTCAGGTGTGTGAAGAAAAACCACTACGTAACAGTTCTCCTTTGCTGTTTAAAAATCTTTTTTTTTTTTCTTGGTAATCATTAGTTTCCTTTTTTCCTAATGCTTATTTAGCAGTTGAGATTGAACAAAAAGGAAAAAAGAGGCAGACATAAGATCAAAAACCAGCTGCATATGGACCCTTCTCTGCTGTAGTATAAAATAACAGAAAATTATAGCTCCTGACGGAGATGATTTTATTTGCACCTGGGCTCTATCAGCCAATGAGACATATACACAAAGCACATAAACTTTTAGTTAAAATGGTTACAAATAAACCCAAATCCAAGATTTTATTCTTATATTCTATTTATGTGTATCTTTTAAAATTCATTTTCTTATTCTTATATATATGTTCATAGACAGATATATACTTCCCCTTCTCCCCCTCCCGATCCCATCAGGCATATTTGGGAGCTGCTCTTTTCTACCGAATTCTGTAACAATAAATCTTAAATTTTACATCAATGGAATTCTTTGTTGAGACAAAACTCCAGTCAC